TGGAGGCAGGCAGTTCTCTGAGTTCCAGGACAGCCAGGGCTATACAGAGAAACCCTATCTACCTTGTCTAAGAAAAAATAAAAAAGAATTCATAATTCTGACTTCGTGTTGATTGATAAACCCTCCCAATACCAAGTCAATCCACAATTGAATTCCCCTTCGCCACCAGGTAGTCTCCCAGAAGTCTTTGGGAGATGTTGAGCAATCTATTTGGCCCACACTGTGTGGACAATCTAGCAACCCATGTTCTTATTTCCAGAAGGAAAACCAGAAAGCTACCTCTGTGTGGCTGCAGTATTTTACGTGCAGTGCTCACAGTATTTATGACCACAAAGCAAGCTAGATTTTCCTGTTGCCATTCCTCTTCCTCCCAGAAGATGAGTCATACAGCAAGCACTCTTTCACCATTTGCAAAATGAAGCGCCCTTCACTTTGGTGTGTGTGGAGTGACCTCTGAGAACTTTATTTTGTTGAACTAATAGTATTCAAGTCCAAGAGACCTATGCCAACTCTGGACCTTATTCCTTCCGTCTCTTCCCCACTCCACATGGAGTCACCAAGTCCTGCTGACTCCCCTGCCTGCACCTCACTCCAGCTATATGCTCCCCTTTGCCCACCTTCTTGCAGGCCCTGAAAGACAAATACAGCTGCACCACTGGCCTTGTCAATAGGCCCTCCACACCACCACCAGAGGGCTCTGTCTAAACTGCAAAGAAGAAGAAGAAAACCCTCATATAGATCCTACAGCCTGACACAGTCCTCCTGGTGAGTGATCAGCACCCTGTCCTCCAGCCTGCCTGCACACCAACCCCATAATCTCACAGCCTCGCTCCAGTCCCACCCGCAGCCTCACCAGGCACTTGGCATTCTCTGTAGTAACAAGTTAAATCACACATCCGTGCTTTGGCAGACACTGTCATCTCAATTTCTAATGCTGCCTCTCCCCTTAGCAACACCCAATTTATCATCCAAGACACAGCTCAACACATTTTTTTTTTTGCCACGGACACTGTTATGTTTGAAACTGAAACAGGCCTCTGTTTTGAACATCTCGTCTTCCAGCTGGTGGCAAGGTTGGTTCTGGGGAGGTTGTAGAACTTTGCGGATGTGGGGGCTCTCTTGGAGGAAGTGAGTCACTAGGACTAGGACTTCAAAGTCACACCCGCCTCTGGTTTTGGATCAGCTTTCTCTGCATCACTATTCCTGTGAGGAGAAGACCCACCACCTCACACTCCCACGATGGACCAGGATCCTCTGCTTCATCTGCCTGTGGTGAAGATCTGTCACTCTTTGTAGCCTTGCAGCAATGTATACCACTCCTCACCTCAGCTTGTCCTGTCAGGGTATTTTATCACAGAGACATGGGAGGCAATAAATGCACATAATATCCCGGTGGGGGAAGATAACACTTTTAAAAATCTTTCTCATGACAATAGAATTGTTTGCAAGTCTAGTTTGTGGAAAGACCTTGACTTAGATTCAAGAGAGTGTTAGAGAGACACTTCATGTTCTCCCAGGAGAGTCAGGCCTGGTGAGTTCAATGTAATTTCTCCTGGTCATTTGAGGTGAGTATTTTGGGGAACAAAGTCACCTCTTCCCCTGGTTCTCAAGGAGAACTTTTACCTAAGATGATAAAGAACTTTCTTCATTTAGCTGTGAAGTCTTTGAATGCAGAAACTCTATTAATGTTTGTTTTCCTAAGTGGAGCGTACTTCCTAGGGGTTGTGAATGTTATTAATGGATGAATAAGTGAGTGAATGGAGCAACTCATTCAAAAAGAATTTATTGCTATAGGCAAGAAGCCCTGGTGGATACTATTATGATTTAAAGGAACCTGGCTGTTATTTTCATTGGGAAAACAACTTGGCAAGGAAGACAGACCCTAAACAATCAGGCAATTACTATTTCATTGCAAAGGTGGGAGGGCCTGTAAAGAAGTCCAGACTGTTAGGGAATAACTTGGAGCTTAGGTCAGAACATTTTCTTTGAGAACATAATGTTCATAAAAGAAATTACTAATACAAACACATTACAGAGAACAGCAACTCCAATTCCTACCCTACGCTAATTTCTCATTGCTCTGACAAAATCCCTGCTAGAAGTGACTTGAAGATGGAACTATTTGTTTTGGCTCATGGTTTTAGGGGATTTCACGGTGGGCAAAGCATGGTAACCAGATAAGGTGGCCATCAGTTCGAATCTCATAGACAGGGAGCAGAGATGTTAGAACCAGGGACTAAGCAATGACCTTTAAAAGCTGGCTTCCCTTCACTTACTTCAGCCAGCCAAGCCCCATTGCCCCTCAAAATGGTTCCATCTGCTGGGCAAACAGCATTAAAAGGTAGAACCTGTGCAACACATCAAGTTCAAATCATAATATTAGGTTCACCAACAGTCATGCTCATGGGTACACAAAGAAGGAAATCCAAATAAAAACTTTGCTTTGAGTTCAATGGTTAAGAGCTCTTGTTGCTCTTGTAGAGGACCCGGGTTTGGTTCTTTGAACGCACATTCTCCCATAACTCCAGTTCCAGGGGGATCCGGCACCTTCTTTTGACCTCTGTGGACACCTACATACATGTGAAACTCAGGCACTGCACATAAAATAAAATTCAAAAAACTTTTAAAATCAAAACAACTTCATTGGGGGGGGGCGCGTGCGAACACCTGTGTGTGTTTGTGTGTGTGTGTGTGTGTGTGTGTGTGTGTGTGTGTGTGTTCTACCAGATGTCTGAACCACAGATGCTGGTTACTCAGACACTGTCCATCTTGTTTTTTGAGACAGGGTTTCTCAAACTGAAATTAACCAATTCAGCCATGCTGGCTGGTGGCCAGCCCCAAGGGGACACATGCCTCTGTTTCCCCAGTGCTGGGATTACAAGTACAGGCCACCACCACAGCGGGCTTTTGTGTGGCTGGGAGTCAGATCAAATCCTCATGCTTGCACAGCAAACGCTTTTCTGACTGAGCAATCTCCTTCTAGTCATTCACTTTGAACAGACTGTTAACCAACGCAGGGGTTTGGTATGTTTTGTTCCCAGATGTGTTCTCTCAGCCGGTCAAGGCCATGCAAAAGCATAATGCCTGAAATGTTGTGGAACTTTTTGTCACCTGCCCAAATTTTTCCAGTGGTTTGAAGCTAGCTCTGTGTGCTTCAGATTATCTAAGCGTCGCCTCTCTGCCAAGTCATGCATACAAATACTCAGTGTTCCCAAAACTTGTTCTGTAGCTAGCCAGCCCTCTGACCTCACCCTCCTGCCTATTCACCTCTATTTCTCTGTTTCTCTATCCCTATTGCAGTTTCATATAGTTCTTGACTCAACTGCTGTGCACCCCAAACCAAAGAGAGCCTCCTTAATTCTGCAGGTGCTCTTACTGACAGGCAATGTTGGAGACTCTACTGTGGTGGCCTCCAGATGGCAGCCTTGGCAGTGCCCAGGCTCTGTGTGTTCTTGAAAGCTCACCTGAGGAAGCCAGAGTCAATACCACAAGGTTTAGCCTGGGAGACTGGACTGCGGTGTAGTGCCGTCTGCATTTCTAGATGGCACCTGTGTGACCATGGAGATATTTCACCGTGACTGTTTTATAAGCCTCATCTGCCTTTTCAGAGACCCAGCCCTCTTGCACAGTCATGCAGACTACAAACCCTGGATCCTGCTCTAGTTTGTTTCCCTGATGCAGTGATAAACACCAACCAAAACCAACTTGGGGGTTGCCTCTATGTAATTGGCCTGCAGGCATGTCTGTGGGGCATCCTCCTGATTGTTCATTGGTGCTGGAGGACCCAGCCTATTGTGGGTTCTGCCACCCCTGGGCAGGTGGGCCTGGACTGTATAAGAACATGAGCCTGGTGACAAGCCAGCAAGCTGAGTCTCTGTGATTTTCCTTTAAGCTCCTGTCCTGAATTTCTGCCTTGGCTTCTCCTCAATGATGGACTCTAGAATATAAGACAAAAAACAAAAAGCCCCTTTTTTCCTCAAGTTGCTTTTGGTCATTGTGTTTATCACAGCAACAGAAAAGTGGCTGATACAGACCCTATGCAAAAAAAAAAAAAAAAAAAAAAAAAAAAAAAAAAAAAAAAAACCATAATCAAAGTTGGTCTCTATATGTTGAGACTGGGGCTAGGTTAAAAAGAAAAAAAAAGTTCACTTCAAACTGGAACTGACACCTGATACCCTGATCCCCAACATACAAGATTGACATGTTGAAGTCCTGACCGCCACTGTGACCTCATTTGGAGTTGACGCTTCTAGGGAAATAAGAGTAATGAAGTCCTAGGGGTGGGAGCCTGGAGTATAGCTGCTTCCTCCAGGCTTCTTGACATGACCATTGCCATATTGAAGCAGAGTGACTTCGACAACATACAGGAAGTCATGGCAATGAAATAAACAGCTATAGTCTCAGGAATGGGGCTGCTCACCTCTCCTCCTCGGGAAGGGGCCACAGATCTTTAGGAGACCCTCCTCCAGGTTTCCAGTGCCCTTTTCTGCCTGTCTAAAAATGTTTCATGACGTTTCAAGTAAAAATTGACTGGGGTGGGATGTTTTTTTTGTTTGTTTTTGTTTTTTTTTTTTGGGTTTTTTTTTTTTCTTTCTGAGACAGGTTTTCTCTGTGTAGCTTTGGAGCCTATCCTGACACTGGCTCTAGAGACCAGGCTGGCCTCAATCTCACAGAGATCTGCCTGCCTCTGCCTCCCGAGTGCTGGGATTAAAGGCATGTTCCACCAACACCCGGCGGGGTGGGACTTTTTGGTGGTTCACCTACCCATGAGTCATCTTTGCTCCTGGAAGTGACCCAAACAAAGTCATGTATTCACCAGGCTTGACTTAACTGTGTCCTTCTATGGTCTGTCCACTGCTTCCTTATTCAGGGTAAATAAATCTATTTACATCTCCCCAGACAAGTCACATGATAGGCCCCTGATCCAATCAGACTGTGTTCCTGTCAGGAGAGTTAAGAGACACAAAGGGGGAAGACACAAAGCGACACAACGCGTGCTCGCCCCTGCTGCTACCCTTCTCCCTCCTCCTCCTTCTCCCCCTGCCTCTCTCCCTGGCTGCATGAAGAGCAAAGGCCATGTGAGGACATGGGGAAGGCAGCTGTCTGCAAGCCAGGAAGACAGGCCTCTCTAGAAACTGACACTGATGACACCTTGATACAAACTTGTAGCCCTCGAACTGGGGGACAACCCAAATCTCTGTCAACTAAGTCACCCAGCCTGATTATTTTTCTGATGGCATTTGGAGCACATAATGCAATGTGACTGTCCAGTTTTTCTTTGCCACAAGGAAATTGTCAAATGCAAATGCAAAAATACTGCACAACTTCTTAGGCCAGGCATACGGTGCATGCCTGTAATCTCCAAACCCTGAAAACAAGGGCAGGAGGGTTGGACATTCAAGGCTTGCTATTGTCATTCAACCCTTGCTGATCCTTCAGCTGGGAAAAGAAATATGTCCAGGGGTTCTGCTCCCCGTCACTTGTTGGCTCTCTAAGACACCCTGACTCAGCAGTCTCTCTCCTACCCTTACACACAGACACATGCATTGGAAGAAGACTCTGAAGTTTGTTCAGAGTAAATAATGAAGCGGCATGGAGCACTAAGTTACCAAGGGTGTGTGATGTAACAGGGACTTGAGAGTTAAGCCAAAGAGATGGTAAACTAACCGTGAATTTTATCTTGTGTCCATAGCTAGGTATACAGGTGTAGCCAAGAAAAAAAACCATACCTTACTGTAAGTATGCATTTTTATACTACAGATATATATATATGTAATCATAGCTCCTGTATTTATACACTTACGTTTGTGTGTGGTGGGGTGTTTGTGGTGTAGAGTATTGTTGTATGCAGGCAAAGGCAAGGCCTTGATATGTTAACAGCTAGCATTCCTTGTATATTTAAATAACTATGCATCAATCACACTGTTAGCTCATGTTTAATCCTCACAACAAGCTATGCTATAGAAAAATATTACTACTGGGGGTTTTGAAAACACAGAAATCACAGCAGAGATGTTAGACAGCCCAGGATCATAGGCAAACCTGGAATTTCTTCCCAGTCTAGCTATGGAGCCTGCCCTTTCATCTGGGAAAGGAAATGTGACCTGTGTTCTGTTCCACAGCAGATCACATCAGATTGTTTCTGGTCATTCCAGGAGCTCTGAAAGTCTACCCTGTACCTATCAGTCCACATCTGCAAAGAGCCAGCAGGCGGTAGGCAGATTACACGCCACAGTGTGCCGGAGCTGAGGAGCTGTTTTGTGAAGCAGGTGCTTGAAGATTTAAAGTATAACCGTGCCAGCTACAAAGGTTCAAGGTGAAGATCAGTTACTGAGGAGATGCTGGGTAGATTCATCACAGCAGGTCACATGAGTGCCTACTTCCTCCTCCCCGGATACTCTGTTCAGAACAAGCCTCTGTTTGAAATGCAAGATGTCCCTCATTTTAAAGTACCTAAGCTCCATGGTATCTGTACATGTTCCCTTCTAAGGAATCAGTGGTGGTCTTAGAACCAGAACACAGCATCAATGTCTGCAGAAAGAGAAAAGAGGGCAACAATGTCAGAGGGGGTACAGTAGATGAGGGTTAATGTCAGGGGATACAGTAGATGACGGGTAATGTCAGAATGGGTACAGTAGGGGAGATGTTTCCATCAATAAAGTCTTGATGCACAAGTATGAGATTTAAAGATGGCTTTAAATCTACACTCTACTGGCTTTGGACACTCAGCTGAAATCTCAGTGATAGGGAAGCTGAGATGTCAGACTGGAGGATACCTGGAGCTCACTGGCCAGCCAGTCCAGCTGAATTAATGAGCTACAGGTTCAGTGAGAGAATTTGTCTCAAAAAATATGATAGAGACTGATTGAATAAGATAACCCCAGCATTCAGGAGGCAGAGTAGGGGGATCTCTATGAGTTCAAGGCCAGCCTTGTCTACAAAGTGAGTTCTGGGACAAGCTCCAAAACCACAGAGAAACCCTGTCTTGAAAAACAAAACAAAAGACAGCTAACATCTATCTCTGGCCTTTTCACAAACATATGTATATGTATACACACATATGAACACACACATATGGACACAGACACACATGCTTTCAATATGTTCCTTAAAATAGAGTATGAATTTCAGCTTCCTGTTTTCTACTTATTGATTATACAGTCTCATATATATTCTCTCCTCAACTCTGTAACTTAAGCACATGATGGGTACAATTTACCAGGGGGAATTAATGTTTGTTTCTTATAAAAATCAACAGTTGTTGCACGTGTGTGTGTGTGTGTGTGTGTGTGTGTGTGTGTGTGTGTGTGTGTGTGTGTGTGTTTTGCCATGCTACCATGAATCACAACCTTGCTTCCCTTTCTAGCCTAGTCTGCTTTCGGGTGTGGTTCTGGGAGATGTAGCGAAGCCATAGATAAAGTGTTGAATCAAACAGAAATGGATACTCACTAAAGAAGTGTGAGCTGGTCCTCCACAGGGTACCTCACAGATCTTACTAACATCAGGGAAAGGGGAACACTCTATAACTACCAGAAATAGCAAGATGGCACCTGAAAGATGCCCAGAATTTTGTAAGGCATCATGAAATACATGTATCTTTAATCTTACTATGTAATCCAAGAATATGTCAGTAGCAAAATCATACAATCTAGAAAATTAATGCTTAAATTTTTACTTTTTAGGTTCTTCGGCAGGCGCCCAAGTCTCAGAGCCCTCATGCAGTGGCTGATGGAAGCAGAGGCAGACACCCACAGATAGACACTGAACTGAACTGTGGCACTTAGTTGCAGAGAGGGAAGAATGAAGATCAAAGGGGTCAGTACCAGGCTGGTGAAACCCATAGAAACAGCTGGCCTGAACAAGAGGGAGCACATGGACCCCGGACTGCTGTCTGGGAGGCCAGTATGGGACTGATCCAGACCCCTGAACATGGATGTCAATTAGGAGGCCTCCACACTCTACGGGGCCCCTGGTAGTGGATTAGTATTTTTCTCTGGTGTAAGAAGGGATTTGAGAGCCCATCCCACGTGAAGAGATGCACTCTAGGCCTGGATACATGGGGGAGGGCCTAGGACTGGCCTAGGATGATGTGGTGGACTTTGGGGAGCCCCTGTAGAGGACCCTACCCTGCCTGGGGAGTGGAGGCGCGGTGGGGTGGGGTGTCGG